GACAGTTTTAGTACCTTATCAAACATGAAGGCATCACTACACTGATTACTGTAAACATAAAGTCAGTATTATTAAAAGAAACATGGCTTCACTCAGCAGGTTCTTCACGATCCACCTTTTGTTGATCATTGAACCTTTTTTCCAGATCTGCAGGACTTGACTCTGTACATTCGTTACACAATACTGGTTATAGAAGACTTTCCATTTCATTCATATTCCACCCCAAAATTATTAAAAATAATGGAAACAAATTAAACCAAAGGTTCCTGCAGCTTTCCTTGTACCCTTACTTGCTCAATAGACACCAAGCTGGTTAAAACCAGTACGTCAGGTCGGTGGGAGATCGGTCTATTATACTCCCACTGATTAAAAATGAGCTCTTGCATATATAAATACCATGTGCTCTATCATCTAAACCATAGATCCTCACTCCCATCTTTGCCACATTAATAAGTCATAAATCAGATTTTTTTTTCCCCTCTCTTCCTGCTGGTCAGGGTGAGGTGAGAGTCACGACATTCTTCCTCTTCCACCACCTGGACCTCTGCAGCGTGTTGGTATTAGCTGTGGGACACACTCAGGTGTAGGTCTGTGTGAGCTGCTGGTATGTGGCTTGTCACGGCCAATTTACAGAGAGCAGGACTCAGAGGACTGCATGCCCCTCTGAGGGGCCTGACCTACCTGCAGCGGTCAGGTTTCATCTATACTGCGCTGCTCACAGAACTGGAATTCTTCACTTCAGTTTAGTTTTTCCCTGGAAGCTAATTCTTCATGTCCCACAACACTTACACTACAGTGACAAGTGAGGTTTAAAAGGCAAGATCGACACCGGCTACTTGTTTGCACAATAATTTGGTAGAAGTAGTTGTTAGTGCAGTGTATCATTAGCTGTGATTATTAGACTGATTAAAATGTCAACACAAGTTAAAATCTGTTGTTGGCTGTTGAAGTGGAACCTTCTTTTAACAGGCAAGTGCTGCGTAACACACCACAAAATAATGACAATTGTGCCACAGAATATTCACACAACAAATGCCTTGTATAATACTAAAGTGAGACTGATGAGGGTTGGAAATTATTGATTAAAGTCAATTTTGGTAGATATTTTTACAAACATTACATACAACTTGTAAGTCATTTTTAAAAACAACAATTTATGATTCTATTACATAACTTAAAATGGTTATTAAAAATAAAAATGTGTGATCCACTGTCCAGTTAAAGTAGGTTCAATTATAGGTAATGTTAAAGACTCTCTTTTTTTATTGCCAATTTATGACAGGACAAGTGCTCGAAGCAGTGGAGGACCTACATCAGCCAAAGCCTGGAATTCATTAGCTGCAGCAAAAGAACACAAAAATCAGTGGGATGTAGAGTGCTCCCAGGACACCACAACTAGTGGGCAAAACAGGGCAGCTCCAAATACTGTACGCTCATTCTAGTGGAAAACTACATTTTCCAGTGCATGCATGAGAGTGGAGTGAAGCTTTGCCTAGTGACGGACATTCTTCCCTGGAGGTAAAGCACAATCCTGATACAGAACAAATGATCCCTGATTAATCATTATTTAGTCTCATTTCAAAGGGTGTCATTATTTATATAGAGAGGAGCTACTCAAACTATTCTAGTGGTTTGTATTGCAGAAAACAGTACCAAATACATTTGTCCCTTATGTGCATTGTTTCATATTTAATGTAAGGAGTAGATGCATTTGTAAATTATTGATTTTTAATTGTACCTTACATTGTTTATTAACATGTTAAATTGATATTGAAGGAAAATACAATGGAATGCATCACCAGCATTTAATTTTTTAAAGCATTGGATTTTTTAAAAAACTGTAACAAGAATTACAAAACATTTACAGTTCCTGTGCTAACCCTTAATTCCACATTTATTGTCTATTGTGAAAGACAGCTTTATTATGAACACGTAATTTATGATGAAAAATTGTCAAACAAGAAGCAACAATACTGCACAGTATATGTCTGTGATTACGCACATCATAAAACTGTTTCAGCTAATTACTCATGTGTTACACACGTGTGTGCGCGCTGCTGTCTGACTCACACTTTGAACTTCCACTTTATCCGTTTCTTAGATTAAAGCTACCGGGCTAATTTGCCACTGTATCACAATTCCTTCATAATCCGCTGCTAATGCTCACGGACTCGATTAAACAGCTAAATCTCCTGCTTAGTATCTGGTTCTATCTCCTGCACTCTCCATTTGTACTTGCTCTTCACCGCTTTCTCGCCGCCCTCCCTTTCTCCCTCATCCTTTCCCACATTGCTTTAGGGTACCACAGATGCCTCTGTCCATAAAACCTGAACCAAGTCACCTAAAAAAACAACTGCACCCGAAGGGCATCTTTAAAGTGACACTCGTAGCAAAGGACAAAGGGATGACAATACTTTTTCCTTCCTTTACTTCACAGTGACTCTGGCTCTAACTAATAATCCCTGTCGCAGATTTAACGATTGCACTAAAATACGAAATGGTTCACCCAAGAGTTCCTTGAGATATTATAGTCATAATAATGGAACAGGTGGAGAAACCTAATAATGAAGTGCCTTTAGCGATGGTTTTCCTCTGTGCGATTGAAGAGAGAGGGTTGTAGTAAAATGTTCAGCTGTTATTTGTCTCTTCTATAGTACACAATAAATAACGATTTCCCAATTTGTTCTTATATACTTCTAGTATGATGTATAATTTATTTAGATGTTCAATAGATTTCCAGTACATACATTTAAAAAATATGTTTTCATATACATATAGTACAAGACATTTTCAGTAAAGCAATGTGAAAACCAGGAAATGAATATTATTTTTGAATAATAATAATAATAATAATAATAATAATAATAATTACAAACATCAGTGATATTACATTCCTAATAACTGCCTGGGAATCCTTTTTCCTTTTTTTCATTCTTCCCCAATACTTGACTCATAGTGACTCTTTTGTCCTTACACCACACTCATTGTGATAACACATTGTGATAAATCAACACTTTGGTGATTTATTGGGAAGCTCCAGGTGCCTAACCTTGGTATGACATCATATCACTGACCACAAGTTAAACTATGCAGGAATGAATCAGTGTCACTGTGATCTCACTGAGTCAGGTGTAGGAAAAGTAGACTACAGGACCTGATTAATATTTCAATAAGTTGTTCAACAAATGGTAGTGGCAGGTTTTTGTTTTGTTTATTTCGTTTGACGTTCTCTATAAATAATTTACTGTAATAATTCATTTTCTTGAATTGAATTATCTTTCAATTCCTGGTCAAATAAGTTATTTAGTGCAGCTAAATACAGTCAAAGAATTCTATGCATTCAGAAAAACTTTGGTGATGACTTTCAGCTTGTCTATAGACATACATGCAATGTCTACTTTCTTTGCATTCAGGTAAAATCCAGGCATACTGACCATTTACATACACCATCCATCAAACCTCGAAGGGAAGCTAAATTAGCCACAAGTGATAACAATCACTGATTGAAATTCTCTGCCTGTGCGTGTGTTTTCTTGACGTCGCTCCTTACAACTACACAAATAGAAACATGTCACGTCTATTATCGCACACTCTCATTGCTGCTTACGAAAGATAATTGGGTGCATTACTTATGCTTTAAACTTTGAAGGTAAAACACAAACCAAAGACATAGTGAACACTGGGTC